ATTATTCTATTATTACAGCTTTATACTCCATTCTACACTTTAAAACTCTAATGAACTCAATGTATCTACAGTAGGCAGTTTACACTATTATACAGTAGTATAGTATTCTGTTTTTTTCACACAATTCTACTTTCTTTAATATTGTGTGTGTGTGTGCGTGCGTGCGTGCGTGCGTGCATGCGTGCGTGCGTGCATGTGTGTGTGCGTGCGTGCGTGCGTGCGTGTGTGCGTGTGCTCTGCTCTGCTTGTTTACAGATGTTTTCTGTCTGTGATAGTCCAGCATTTGCTCATTGATTTACTGTTATCTGTGATTAAGCTGACGTCTGCTGATTGACCACACATTGACTTCACTGTTATCAGCTCTTATCAGACATACAGAGTCAATCCTGGGGCCTGATGTAGATATACTGCCAGATGAGTCTATGATAACACGTCTGTCTAATTCATTTATGGCTCATCATCACTGCTAAACATCCTCAATAGCTCTCTTCTCCACAACAAACATTCAAACACAGATTTACTGAAGAGAAAAAGAGCTGAAAATCAAGATTATTTTCTTTACTGCACTGCAAAAATGCTCCTCTACTCTGAGGTTTTGTCCTGTTTCTAGTCCAAATATCTTAAACTCTTAAATCAGTCAGCATTTTATAGACAAGCATAAAATATAGACTTGTTTTCAGAAATAATGAGTCAAAATGAAGAGAATTTCTTATTAAAACAAGCAGAATAGTCTTATTTTTCAGTCACTCTATAGTAGATTCTCTATTTACCTGGAGAACTTTATAAGCAAAACCTGAACTCACTAGTGAGGAATCAGATCTGCTCATGTGTTAAAAACACACATCAATGAGTCCAATTCACCAAAACCCCTGAGGATTAGGAGGATTAGGAGGAGGAGGAGGAGGTCGTGATTTTTAGTTTTATTACATGTATTAATTTTTAATGCTTTAAAAGCAAAAAATAAAACAAATTAAGTTTGCGATTCATCCCACTCCATGTCGAGCATGTTGAAATGCGTTTTGTTTAAAGAATTGTTTTGTGTTTGATTTTTCTGTTCGAAATAAATAAATCAAATCAAACAATTCTTTATTTTTCATTTTAAAGGGTGTTTGTGTGCTGCTGTGCATCCCTGTGTGTGTAATAAGCTCATATCTCTCTATACACTCTCAGAAATAAAGGTACATGAGCTGTCACTGGGGTGGTACCTTTACAAATGTACAATTTGTACCTATTAATACCTCAAGGGTACATATTAGTACCAAAAAAGTACAAAAGTGTTCCTCCTAAAATGTGTAATGTATACTTTTGAGGTACCAATATGAACCCTGCAAGTACAAATGTGTAGCTATTGAAAAGGCACCACCCCATTGACAGCTCACGTATCTTTATTTCTGAGAGCTTATATAAATGCATTGAAACAAAGCTGCACCACTGACTTTACAGCAGCTCTAGTTGGTCAATTAAAGCTATTTTAGTTCATCAAAATGACCTCACATGCATTTAAATTTTCTTTAAAACATGCCAAATTAACTTGTTTTTCCTTTGCACATTATTTCTCTTTCCACATTTGCTTGTTTTAAGGCAAAACTCTCTTCATTCTGATTCATTATTTCAGAGAGCATCACAATATCTCGTGTTTGTCTAGAAAATGCTGACTGATTTAAGAGTTTTTAGATATTTTGGACAAGACAGAAACTCTAAGATTTAACTCATTTTTGCACTGTGCAGATGTTTTCACTAGTTTTAAAGATAATGCTCATCATTTTAATGCAGTTTTCATAAAGCCAGTCTTCATATCTTCAGTCATTCTGCGTCTCCAGTAAACACATCCTGTGATTTATGGATATTTACATGTATATTTAGCAAAACAAGACAGAAACACAGTGTTTGAGCGTTTATAAATTGATGCTTCTGTTTTGTAAGTAAAGCATCCGTGTAGTGATCGTCTTTTAATGATGCGTGTTCTTTCTATCATTTTATCGTGCAGTCATGCATGAACACAGTGAACATCTCTGCAGATTCTGCTCTGTTTTGCATAAATACAGCAAATGCTGAAGTGAGAATAAATCTCTCGCTATGCATATAGAGATATGACTTCATGCCGAATGGAAATATTATTATTGAAAGCCACAGTAAACATATGGATCTCTGAATTTATCAGAGCAATGCATGACTTCAGTTCAGATTCAGCATTTAATAAGTGTGTGTGTGTGTGTGCGTGTGTGTGTGCGTGTGCGTGTGCGTGTGTGTGTGCGTGTGCGTGTGTGTGTGCGTGTGTGTCTTCTGAAAGTGTGGATAATTCAGCAGGATAACTGTGAAAATGAAATATGTCACACAGATATCAGAGCTGTATCTGCATGAATCACTCCGGCGTTTACCTGAAGAGCTTCCTCTGCTGTTTTAGATCTGCTCCTGAAGCTGATCTCATGACTCTGCATCTGAAGATTTCACACTTCATCAAGCGTCACAGCGTCATTTACTGGAGAACTATATTAAAAATAGATTATCATCAGATGAATACTGTTTCACGCTGCAGGATTATTGTAATGAATCTGCATTTATTGGTTGTAAATGTGAATGTTTGATCGATTCCTAGATATTTCTTTAATATCTAATTTTATTTGACCTTTTTATTATGTTCAGATTGATATAAACTGAGCTTTACCACAGCATATAATCTAGTAGTAAGTTTATACTACAGGTAAAGCTTTTTATTTGACATTGCAGTATAAGAATGTTGCATGAACAGGAAGTGACATCAATGTTATTTTAAATATATATTCTCATTGTTCACTGTGCGTTAGCTTTAAGCAGAGGGCTTATTTAATTTTACAATTATTTTTACATTTTACAATTATAATTTTTTGTTTAGTTTATTTATTAAAACTTTAAACACATTTTTTGTGTTTTTTGTGTTTAACAAACACATTGTTAGTGACTTTTAATGTTTTTGTTTGTACATAGGTTTAAGTTAGTTTTTGTTTATTTATGCATCAATTCATTATTTTTTATTCTATTTTGAAATGTATGAATAAAATTTATAGTCAATTATCCAATAAAATGTTTGTCTAAATTTATTACTTTTTAAATAAATAAATAAATGAATTAATAAATAAATAAATAAATACATGAATAAAATAATTAATTAATTAAAAAATAAATAAATACACAAATAAAAAATGGATAAATAAATGAATGAATAAATAAATAAATAATACATTAATAAATAATAAAAAATAATAAATGAATACACGAATATATGAATAAATTAATTAATAAATGAATAAATAAATACAAAAATATTAATAAAACAAATAAAAAAATAAATGAATACACAAATAAATGAAGAAATTAATAAAAAAATGAATAAATAAATAAATACACAAATGTATAAATTAATGAATAAGCAAATAAATTAATAAATTAATAAACCAAAAAATAAACACACAAATAAATGAATAAATTAATGAATAAATAAATTAATACATATAAATATATGAGTAAATGAATAAATAACTACATGAATAAGTAAATTAATTAATAAATAAGTGATATTTAGTGCCAAATTGCATGAAAATAAAAGTGACTTCAGAAAGATGGCAGCACAATAATGTATTTTAACACAAACACCCCTCAGCTAGTGAAATCATTTGACTTTATTTTTCTCTAAGCAAGTATTTATATAATAATAATTATTATTATTTATTGACAAACATGATCATTCAGAATATTTGCAGGCCGCATGGTTTACCGTCTGCATGTGTGTGAACAGAGTCAGAGTGCTGCGGTCTCCGTGAATAAACTCTGAGTTCATTCATAACCTCTGTCAGTGTTTTCCTTCCAGGCCGTAACTATAGAGCGATCCATCAGTGAGGGGTTAATAAGAGCGCTGGTGGACATGTCTATTAACCAGCCCGGCCTTCATCTGACTGCACTATTAGCTGTGAACGTGACAGATTGACCAGCAGAAACTGACTCTGTATGTGTTATTTCTGTCACATGATCAAGTTTAGGCTGTTTATTTACTCTGTGCACTGCAGAAATCCTGTCCTCAGTGTGTGTCTGTACAAATATCTAAATATAATAAATCAGGATGCATTTATTAAAGATGAACTGAAGATATGATGATTTTATCTTTGTGTGTATCATGATGTAGATTGTTTTTGTATATTTATGCTGGAAAATGAGACGATTCTGGCAGCAAATCTGAACAGAGGTGATATGAAATCAACACATGTTTAGTTTTAGTTTAGATTAATGTATTTTACAAACAAATTAACACATAAGAGATCTGATTTGCCATGCAGAGGACTTTAACATGCTAGCAGTAAGGTCAGCTCCTCACCTTTCTGTCCACAATCTCATTAATAAATATATAAATCCACATTAACGAGGGTCGTTTATTACTGTAATACAGAGAATGACTCTTGATAATCAGCCTCAGAGTAAAATGCATCATGTAATGAAAGGTTTTACAGTGAAATAGTGAACAATCATGAATTATAGTGTTTAATGTTCCTCAAGCAACACATTAGAGTCGTTGCGTTCATTCACTTTACACTCATTAATAATCTTCATTTACTGTCATTTATTACAAATACATCTGCTGTTAAATAATAATAACACGTCTAACATTTACTTTCAAAACTAATTTAGTGAAGCTGTTGTGTTCAGAGATTGTGTGTATGTGTGTGTATTATAGTAGCACCACTCTATTGTGTTTGTGTGTATGTGTAGCGTCATTGTATTGAGTGTGTATGTGTGTAATATGAATGCTGTCATATTGTGTGTGTGTGTGAAGCTGAATGTGTACTGTAGTGTGTCTGTAGTGTGTCTCTTGATGTCTGGCCCTTCAGAAGTGCGTTTAATGAGGTGAAGTGCAGCTCAACCTCCACACACACACACACACACACACACACACCGAGAGTTCCAGCAGTGTGACCTGTGACCTCGGTGAGAGCAGTGTAAATGAACCGTCATTAGAGAAACCCTCCTGATAATAACAGTGTTTCAGTGACTCTACATTCACATTACAGCAGCACTGAAGAGCTTCTCCTTGTTACCTTCATGAGTTCTGGGTGTGTTCAGGGTGTAACATGCATTAAACCAATCAGAGTCTCGCCTCCCATTCCCTGTCAGAGTGAGCTGCGGTCACATGATGGTGTGTTCACTATTTACAGGACAGAGTTTAGATGCAGATGAACAGAAAGCGTCTCTAGTGAGTGATCAGATCTGCTTCAAGACCATCTGCAGAACCCGCCAGGTTGACCTGAGGTAGAGTGTTTTATATATTTATCTACACTATAATAATCTTTCACATTTCAATTCTTTTATAGTTCATTATTAACTATATTTGTGCACTGCTGTGCATCCCTGTGTGTGTAATAAGCATCATGCATGGAGAGGGGTCTGAATGCAGTCTCGGTGCAGTGCAATCTGAGCTGCATGCAATGCTTTTTAATGCCCGCCCCTTATACAGGGATGTCACCAGCTCCTTTGAGTTCATTGTTTCTGACATTGCGAGTCTGAGATATGCATTCAGATGCTATTGCATGCATGTGTGTTTTAGACCAGCTGATCCCTAGTCTCAGCCTCACACTGCAAAACAGGCTTTTCTTACAGTTTTTGTCTTGTTTCTAGTCCAAATATCTAAAAATTCTTAAATGAGTAGCATTTCCCAGGCATCAAAACTTATATTGTTTTTTTTTTTTTTTTTAGAAATAATATGCCATAATTATTTGAGTTTTCTCCCTGAATCAAGCAAAATAATCCCCCAATGGGGTAAACAAGATAATCTAGTTTTTCTTTTTGACATGAGATTGTTTTGTTTACCCTGTTGGCAGATTATTTTGCTTGATTCAGGGAGAAAACTCACATAATTCTGGCATATTATTTCTGAAAACAAGATTATATGCCTTGCTTGTTTAAAAAAATATTCTTGATGTAAAAATTTTTGAAACAAGTCAAAAAATAAAATAAAATAAAATAAATTTGCAGTGTAGATGTCATGCTAGCATGGACTTGTGGCTGCATATCTGATGTACCGCACACTTTAGCAGATCCTTTAACTCTAGATCCTTAGATCCTTTTTATATTGGTTTAATTATACAGGATTTCTGACAGTCAAGTGTGCAGCAACCTTAACCAGCCCATCTGGAAACAAGTCTGATCCAATTAAAATAGCTGAGATGTTGATTTCGGTCAGTATCTATGTGCATCTCCTCCTGATCTCCTTTATGTTCTGCTGACACATCATTTAACATATTGATGCGGTGTTGTTGTTGTTGTTGTTGTTGTAAACATGAATGGAGGATGCATTGTTGTGTTATGGAGTGTATTTCTTTGGACACAAGTAAAATAAAATAAAATGCAAACCTGCAGCACTTACTTTAGACCAGCTCTATGTTGATCAACAACACAGTCTATTTTATTTTGAGTGCTCAAATATATTTACTATCTAAACTGTGTATGTGGTGCAGAACATCAAAAAGATTCCTGCATCAGACTGAAACTGGCCAAAAAAAAAAAAAAAAAAAAAAAAAAACACTTGCATCGCACATTGTTTGTATGTTTTTTTTTGTATATTTTTAATGATGTTAATATATGAATTATTATATGGTATTATGAGTTTTTTTCCTGTATTTTGCGATTTGCGATGTTTTTGTATATGGACTAAGAGTCTAATAATAATAATAATAATAATAGCTCTGTATTGCACCAAGTGTTTGATGTTGTGTTGTGTTGTGTTGTGTATTCTCCAACCCGTCGACACACAGTCTAAGTCCAGCAGAGATTGAGGTGTGTGTGGAAGATGCAGGAGTGAAATGACCATCTCCTCCTCCTCCTCCGTCTCTGAGCTCCTCCAGAGTGGAATATACGGCAGGTCTGTGCTCTTCATTAATCTTTCATCTGCCGTTTAACCGTGTTTCTCCTCTCCGCTTCAGACTCTCAGCTGAATATATCAGTCTGCAGGGTTCCTCTACATTACACTGCAGCTGCATGCTGCTAAACAGGCTTTATAACTCTGGGCTCCTGTCTTTTTACTCTATCAGTGTCTTCAGATTCTCAAATCAAATGTACAGAAGCAGAATAACTAAAGATATTGCATTGTGTTTGCTTTAAAATGCTGATTGTTATTAGAATTAAAACAACAAAATAAATCTGCCAATTATCTATTAATAGTAAAGTTAATTGAAGTGAATAAACGGAAAGCTAGTGTTTAGCTGACCAAAATTACACACACACACACACACACACACACACTCAGAGAAAGACTCACAAAGATACGCATGTTCACTCGCACTCTTTCACACGGACATACACAAACACCCACACACATGGCGTGTGTGTGAGAGAGATAGAGCTGGTGTTGAGCTGATAATAATTGATTGATGGCGGGTCGGTTGTTGATGACAGGTTAGTTGTGTGACCTTTAACCCTGCCAGTTCAGTCCTTACATGTGTGAAATAGCCAATTACATCTGTAGATACGTGTGTGTGTGTGTGTGTGTGTGTGTGTGTGTGTGTGTGTGTGTGTGTGTGTGTGTGTGTGTGTGTGTGTGTGTGTGTGTGAGAGAGAGACAGAAGTAAGGTTGAATATGCGAGGTGAATATAACCCACTGAATCTAAATGTTCACATTCAATATGTTTTAAAATAGGGCATCACAGTGGCTCAGTGGTTAGCTCTGTGGCCTCACAGCAAGAAGGTCGCTGGTTCAAGCTTCGGCTGGCTCAGTTGGTGTTTCTGTGTGGAGTTTGCATGTTCTCCTCGTGTTGGTGTGGGTTTCCTCCAGGTGGTCAGCACATTGTTATATACAGTGTAAAGTGACATGTAAAGGCTTCACTAGGGTAATTAGGGTAAAGTTAGGGTAATTAGGCAAGTCATTGTATAACAGTGGTTTGTTCTGGAGACAATCCCACACTAATATTGCTGAAGGAGTGAATAATATTGACCTTAACATGGTGTTTGAAACTATTAAAAACTGCTTTTATTCTAGCCCAAATAAAACAAATCAGACTTTCACCAGAAGAACAAATATTAGAGGAAACGCTGAGAACAACTCCTGAATCTGTTCAGCATCATCTGGGAAATATTAGAATATATTCACAGGAGGGCGACTCATTCTGACTTTAACTGTATGTGTGTGTGGTGTTGATGTCCTGCTGTTGCTGATCTGGAGTCAGCTTTGAGGTGTTTCAGACAGGATCAGTGAACTCTGGGATTGAGGATGGCTGTTTTCTCCAGAACTCCTGCTGTTTAGAGGAGAACGGCTGAGAAATGAGGAGCTTCAGCCTCTGACTGACCCCAAAACACAATCACTGACCTGCGCATGGAGAACAGAGCACACACACACACACACCTGACCGTCCTGGAAGAGTCTCCGCCACACACATAGTGAGGACTATTTTGATTTCATTGTTCAGACGAGACGATATTAAAGTGCATTTTTGCTTGAAGCGAGAACAAATATCCGCCAATGGGTCAAACATGTCATTTGTTTTTAGTGACAGATATTTGTTTATAAAAGTCTTAAAAATACGAGGAAAGACATGTATTAATGAAAATATTTAGTCATTTTGCATCTCTAGTAAATGTGTATTGATTATGATTTGAGATGTTTGGTCTGGATTTCTGAATGTTTTAATAGTCATCCTGAATGCTGAAAAGGTTTAAAGATAACTCTTCATGATCATTCAGGACAGTGGTACTCAACCTCATGTAAGTTTGCAGTAATGATGACAAAAAAATGTAGTTTTTGAACAAGCAGTATGTTTATGACTATATCTAGATGTGTTTTTGCACAAATAATAGCCTGATGTAAAGCACAGCATCAGTAGGCCGTTTGCAGCTGAAAAGCGTGAGCCTCTGGCCTTTACATTGACCCTGTTTGACATTCAATAACAGAAATATCATATATATTCTCATATATAAGCTATTACAATTTAATATGTGCAGGTTATTTGCTTTATCAAGTAGTGTGAGGATTGCTGCCAGGTGAATCATGAGTGTTTTTGTGGAGGCTGGATTACAAATTTGTGTCTGTTTTTGGTCAGCTAGCGCACTGGACCTCAACCTGTTGATCACCGGGGAGCTTCAACGCTTGACAATCTCTGATGGGAGTGTTTTGTAGGTTGCTAGGCGACTGTTAACCGTTTTCTCAGAGGATGACAAGCTGACAAAACACTGCTGTCACTCTGATACAAGTTTTATTTGTGGAGAGAAGTACAAAGCACTGCAGTGTTTGAGTGTTCTGTGTTTGTCTGAGAAAATTAATCTTATTAAAATGTGAATATTCTATACAAGCTGAAGGTGATTGGTCAGTTCTTGTCATGTGACTTGCGGTGCGTTCGCGGCCCGGGGTTCATTGATGCGAGCGCGTCACACCTTCATTGCAAACAACAAACTTGAGCAAACTCTAGAAATACGTGATGTGTGAACGGCCCCTAAAAGCCATCGTCATTTGTGATCTCCAACAGTTGATCTTCTTGCACAGACATGCTGGATTCACCTGATTTGTTGACAAGAGGGTTGCGGATGCATTCCTTGGCAGTTCCTTCACTTGGCTTTTCCTCTGGGCAAAGAAACTTTCCCAAGACGTCTGTTTCCTGACTCATTTTGGGTTAAATTTGGGCACTCAAGTGACCGAGATGTAAGCGAGAGAATACTGTCATTTTTCAAAATACAAGACTTTTCAAAATAAAAGATGGTTCAGACTCACATAATATAACTCGCATATGATTTCTGCTGCGGCCCGGTACCAATTGATCCACAGATTGACGGTTGAGGACCACTGGGCAAGGGGATAAAATGAACTAAGGCAACATGATCATTCTCCTGAATGTCCACTGCTAAGAGATTATTTAAATATTACGTGACCACCCCACATTTAAATGCGACCCCCCCCCCCCAAACACACTCACACACAAAGCTCACTGAGGCCCCCTTGTGGGCCGTGACCCCTCTGTTGGGAACCTCTGATTTAGGAGTCTTAAAATAACACGTCTGACTATTACAAAAAGAATATTGAATATTATATCAGTGTAGATATTTGTGTTCCTCTGACTGGGTTTATGCTTAAAATAAACAGAATTAAAATATGTAAAATATGCAAATACAAACACTTTAGTTTTAAATAACACACAAGTACTATTTTAATTTAAAAATAATACAAAAGGGTAATGACTGTACTTTACACAATCTCACCCATGAAGTTTAGTATAAGTGAGTTACTGATTTCATACATAAATTAATTAATTGAAGAATTTTTATTTTTACTAAAGTTTATTTCATAAATGTCAGATGCCCAAATTGCATTTAGAACGTTTCAGATTAAAATTGCATGAATGTTAATGAGTGAGTCTCCTTTTGACCACTACAGTGAGGATTTATCATGAGTTCATATTATCTCACATTTAAATTATCTGAATTGTACATTATGATAATATCTGAATATCCAGATGATCTGCAGGTCAGACAGGTGTGTGTCTCTGTGTGTGTCTCTGTGTGTGTCTCTGTGTGTGTCTCTGTGTGTGTGTGTGTGTGTGTGTGTGTGTGTGTGTGTGTGTGTGTGTGTGTGTAAATGTCAGATTTGTCTGTATGAGGGTGTGTTTTTCTGTTAACTGCTGTGTGTGTGTGTGTGTGTGTGTGTGTGTGTGTGTGTGTGTGTGTGTGTGTGTGTGTAAATGTCAGATTTGTCTGTATGATGGTGTGTTTTTCTGTTATCTGCAGTGTGTGTGTGTGTCCGTGTGTGTGTGTGTCCGTGTGAGTGTGTGTGTGTGTGTGTGTGTGTGTGTGTTTCCATCAGCAGCAGAGGTGACCTCCTCTCACTCCTGCAGTTCTATATCTGGATTTTGACACATTTTATGAGCGATTAGCTGCGTTTGGTCCAGAGCGAGCTCCACCTCTGACCCCGCCGGTCTGGACTACACAATTAACTGGCAAAATGACCAGCGGTAAATCTGAGCGGGCCGAGGTTTGACAAGGAAACAGAGCAGAGGAGGAACAGCTTTATGATCGCTCGTGTTCGCCGACGGTTTATAGTCCAATATGAGAGAAGATATTGAGAGAGAGTGTGTGTGTCTGAGTGTGTGTGTGTGTGTGTGTGTGTGTGCTGTAGGTCAAGTAAAAACGACTATTTCTCCCATAATACACATTCAGCTGCAGGAAATATTCATTTTTGCAAAAAAAAAAAAGCTGCTGTAGAATTATAGACCTAATTACAGCAGTGAAGCTCCAGATAATGTTCATTACATTTATTTATTTCACCACTAATAAATATAACTTTTAATTACACTTTATCATCGTTTATCGTTTATGTTATTTTATGCATTTTCATTTTAGATTTGAAACAAATGCCTATGGAATAATTGTTAGAGCAGAATCAGAACATAAGGCTGGACGTAAGCTGAATAATAAACCCAACAAAAACACGAGGATGTCTAAAATAAACTACACTAATCAGTTTCAGAATTTTAAATGAGTTGCTGAAATAAACTCTTAAATGAGCATCCCACATCACCTCCCAGCAAGAAGGTCCCTGGTTCAAGTTGGTGTTTCTGTGTGGAGTTTGCGTGTTCTCCCTGTGTTGGCGTGGGTTTCCTCCGTTTGCTCCGGTTTCACCCCCACAGTCCAAAGACATGTGGTACAGGGGAATTGGGTAGGCTAAACTGACTGTAGTGTATGAGTGTGTGTGAATGTGTGTGTGTGGATGTTTCCCATTGATGGGTTGCAGCTGGAAGGACATCCGCTGCGTAAAACGTGCTGGATAAGTTGGCGGTTTATTCCGCTGTGGCGACCCCTGATAAATAAAGGGGCTAAGCTGAAAAGAAAATGAATGAATGAACAAATGAATGACTGAATGAATGAATGACTGAATAAACGATTGAATGATTGAATGAACTAATGAATAAATGAATGAACAAATGACTGAATGAATGAACGAACAAATGACTGACTGAATAAATGTATAAATGAATGAATCAATGAAAAACAAACAAATGATTGAATGAACGAATGAATGAATGACTGAATGAATGAACGACTGACTGAATGAATAAATTAACGAATGAATTAATGAACAAATGACTGAATGAATGAATGAATGGATGAATGAATAAATGACTGACTGAATTAATGGATGAATGAATGAATGAATGAATGGACGAACTAATGAATGAACGAATGAACGAATGACTGAATGAATGAACAAACGAATGACTGACTGACTGAATGAATGAATGAATAAATGAATGAATGAATCAATAAACAAACGAATGACGAAATAAAAATAATGAAACGAAATGAGTGAATGAATGAACGAATTACAATGAATAAATGACTGAATAAATGAATGAATGAATGTATGAACAAATGAACAAATGAATGAATGAATGAATGAATGAACATATGACTGAATGACTGACTGACTGACTGAATGAATGAGTGAATGAATGAATAAATGAATAAATGAATGAATCAATAAAAAATGAACAAATGATTAAATAAATGAACGAATGAATGAATGAATGTAAGACTGAATGAATAAATGAAAAAACGAACAAATAAATGAACAAATGACTGAATGAATGACTGAATGAATGACTGAATGAATGAATAACTGAATTAATGAATGACTGAATGAATGAACAAATAAATGAACAAATGAATGAATAAATGAACGAATGACTGAATGAATTAATGAATGTATGAACAAATGAATGAATGAACAAATGACTGAATGAATTAATGAATGTATGAACAAATGAATGAATGAACGAATGACTGAATGAATGAGTGAATGACTGAATGAATGAGTGAATGAATGACTGAATGAATGACTGAATGAATGAATAAATGAAAGAACGAATGAATGAATAAATGAACGAACAAATGAATGAATGACTAAACGAACGAACAAACAAAAGAACGAACAACCGAATGAGTGAATGAATTAAATAACTTTTTTAATGTGTTTTTTTTTATGTGTTTATGTTAGAGTTTAATTTAGTTAACTTTATAGATTGATTTTACCTGATAATAAAGTTTAAGTAATACAGTTTTCTTTTAAAGATCGACAGCACGGCTCAGCATGCCACTGATTAATCCTCTGATTGAAATATTGATGACTGATCCTGTAGACCTGAGTCTGCTGCTGGATGTGTTTCGGCTTCTGCTGTATGAGTGTTATTAGCTCATGCATCACTCTGGAACTGAACCCGTGTCCTTGGCGTTGCACACAGGAATGCAGAACGCCTGAATGAATTGCTGGAGTCAGTCAGGGTAGAAGTGCTCTCTCTCTCCAGTGTGTTCATGGCTCTGTCCCATTGCTGCGACTCCTGTGTGTGTGAAGCGTATCCGTACGGCTCTCTGAGAGTGTTATATCAGGAGCTCTGCTGAATCTGCTGGACTGTGACCGTTTCTCCGAGGACTTTAACCCTGTCTCAGATGAATTATAGTTTGTTCTGTTCTCATAAGCATGAGCTGATGGATGAATAAAGCCTCCGTCGCTGTGACCTGAGCTGGAAACCCTTCATCATCTCTGGAGGATCACTGAAGAACACGAGGAAAGAGAAGTGATGACACGCAGGTATTCAGCAAACCTTCATCAACACATACACCATCTGATAATTACTTATTCATTTACCATCAGGCAAGAGCGTAGAGTCAATTACAATGATCATTATTTCATTTTTCTAATCATTTTGCTATTTCAGATGCTCCATCAAGCCAAACACAATAGAAAAAGTCAAAAATATCAGCACACTGCCACGCCAGCTCTCAAGAGACTCATTTAATTAGACAAAGCAGACTAACACACGACAATATAAACTATAAACAACTGACAAAGACCTGGAAAAATATACAAATATACTGTATGTGTTTTGCCAAATCTCAAACATAAAATGCTTATATTGTATTAAAATCATTCATTTTCCTTCAGCTTAGTCCCTTATTTATCAGTGGTTTCCACAGTGGAATGAACCGCCAACTATTCCAGCATCTGTTTTACACAGCAGATACCAATCCAGCTGCAACCCAGTACTGGGAAACACCCATACACACTCAGTCACACTCATACACTACGGCCAGTGTAGTTGATCAGTTCCCCTATAGCGCATGTGTTTGGACTGTGGGGGAAACCGGAGCACCCGGAGGAAACCCACACCAACACGGGGAGAACATGCAAACTCCACACAGAAACACCAACTGACCCAGCCGAGACTCAAACCAGTGACTTTCTTGCTATGAGGCCACTCTGTGACACCACTGAGCCACCATGCCACCCCTGTTTTTATTTATTTTTGGCTTAGTCCCTTTATTAATCAGGGGTTGCCCCAGCGGAATGCACCGCCAACTATTCAGACAGAAAGAAAATGAATGAGTGAATGTGTTACATATAAAAGTTTTTATAAGAGGATTTGGTATTTCTAATAAATTCATCACTCCATACATCTGAACATAGCATGTTTTGGGGAAATATTGTTCTATAAATCTGCTTGAGTCATATATAACCCAATACCTTCAGTAAAAATCTCCAGAATATTAATTAAGCTAACAAAGTTTGGTGTGAGTTTTTCTGATGTAGAGCAAAAAATGTATCTTGTGCATGCAGATAGCAGACTTAGTCCCTTTATTAATCTGCGGTCACCACAGCGGAATGAACCACCAATTAAAAAATCTGTTTAATTAAAATGACTTCAGATTTTATGAGTGGCCTGCAACTTACAAATATAATAGCCAAATTTAGTTGGTGCATAACTAAAGTTAATGTTCAAATGCTGCTCATCAGTTATATTTTACTAGCATCATTTATAATCTACTATTCACTCTCATAGAGTTCATTTCACCACTTTCCGTCCTTCATTTCTAGTGTCTCCAGCATGAATCTGCATCATGATATCAGAATATGCCATGCTTTAGGAATAAATTGTCCTATAAATCAGTTTGAATCATGTATAACACAATACCTTCAGTGCAAATCCTCCAGAATATGGAGATGAATAACAGACCCTGTTTACCTGCTCGTGTCTCAGTGTGTTTGGGCTGCTGGACTGATTTCATTACTGTGTGAAACTCAATTTCTCTCATAGATCTTGAAGTTTTCTTGTCGTGTCTGGGAGGAAGTCGAGCCGAGTGGTTTTCCCCCGTCGGCTGTGAGTGCGTCTCTAAGCACGTCGTTTGAGAAACAAATGTAGGTGTCAGGGTTTTATGGAAAGGCGTGCGTGAACACACAGAGTTTTATGAGTCAATCCTGTCGGCCGCGCTACAAAGCAGCCGTGTGAAATGGTTTCGCCCTGGAGGTCAGAGGAAACACACCTGCTGCTGAATCCAATCTGAGGAGCCGCGCGCTCGCTTTCTGAGAGTCAGAGACTGAAAACAACAGCAGATCTGATCAGACTCACACCACATCACGCATCACCCCCGAGCATCAGCTAATGCAGTAATGCACAGACACTACAGGAGGATCTGCTGTGATGTCAATGTGCTGCATTAAATGCCCAAAACTGATTTAATATGTTGAAAACACCCTGTATAGTTATCTGTTAGTTAACATTTTGTGTGTTTTGTGTTTGTTAGCGGTGGTGAATTGCATTTTGAGATGTTGATCTCTGTTTTGTCCACTTTTAATGTTGAAAATTCAACTCTAAAGTGACTTTTATTGACATTTTAGTAATAATATAATGTATAATAAATAATATCCAGAGTAATAAGTGTGTGAAATAACAGAAAATGTGCTGCAGTTTATTACAAGGTTTCTGTAGCGTAATATACAATACCAACACACAATACAGCACAATATTACATAATAAAAGTAACTTTTTAGATCTTTTCAAGGTTAAAAGTAAATGAAAGAAAGATCAAGATCCCATAATGCAATCTGAAAAGCAGAAACAAAGATACAAAAAAGAAAATACGAAAAAAAATTGCTCATTTATAGATATTTTACAGTGCATATAGCTAAAAGATGTCACTGTACTGATTAATTGCATTTAGAATTGCTTCCTAAATATGCAAATGAGATGTAGCATTATTAAAACACACTGTTATGCATTCATAAATGTATAGAAAGTAAATCTGAGCACTAAATCACATCAGCCGTAATTCTTTTATTTAGATATTACTATTTAAGATTTTACCAAAGGAATATTTTATACTGGGCAACACGGTGGCTCAGTGGTTAGCCCTGTGGCCTCACAGCAAGAAGGTCACTGGTTCGAATCCCAGCATTTCTGTGTGGAGTTTGCATGTTCTCCCCGTGTTGGTGTGGGTTTCCTCCGGGTGCTTTGGTTTCCCTCACAGTCCAAACACATGCGCTATAGGGGAACTGATCAACTACACTGCTCGTTGTGTGTGTGTGTGTATATATGAATGTTTGTATGGGTGTTTCCCAGTACTGGGTTGCAGCTGGAAGGGCATCCGCTGTATAAAACATGTGCTGGAATAGTTGGCGGTTCATTCCACTGTGGTGAGCCCCTGACTAAGAGACTAAGCAGAAGGAAAATGAATGAATGAATATTTTATATTTATTTTTAATCATTAAATAAACCATTAAATACTGTAAACGGACATAAAATGTTCATTTTTGCAATGTTTTAGGAATAAAAGGATTTACAGATCAATACAAATTATACACAGTTGAAATAAACATTATTTGCGCTCCTGTAAATTTTTCTTTCTTTTTTCAAATTTTTCCCAATTGATGTTGAACAGATGAATATTTCACAGTGTTTCCTCTAATGTTTGTTCTTCTGGAGAAAGTCTGATTTGTTTTATTTGGGCTAGAATAAAATCAGTTTTTAATTGTTTTAACTCATGTTAAGCTCAATATTATTGGCCCCTTCAGCAATATTAGTGTTGGATTGTCTCCAGAACAAACCACTGTTATACAATGACTTTCCTAATTACCCTAACTTTACCCTAATTACCCTAGTGAAGCCTTTACATGTCACTTTAAGCTGAACACTAGTGTCTTGAAGAATATCTAGTCTAATATTATGTGCTGTCATCATGACAGAGTGAAGACATGTTATTAAAGATGAGTTATTAACACTGTTATAATTATGTACTGAACATCTCACTGTTAAACAGAAATTGGGGGAAAATATAGAGGAGGGCGAATAATTCAGGAAGCCTAATAACTCTGACTTCAACTGTATAAACCAACCCCTCAGTAAAAATCCTTCAGAGTATACAGATGAGCACATGTAGTTTTTCATGAATGTAAGTGCTTCTGAAATGTGGAAACACTTTTTAATATATGCATTGTAATTTACATTTCAAACACAAGTATAAACAAAAGTAATAATAACCCAATAGTGATGTCTCC